TCCTTATCCCCTGAAAGTTTTCTTATCCAAATCGCAGTTCGACTCACCGATAACCCTTATCGAACGATCTATATTCAGTTTCGCTGTCCGAATGGCAATTACTGTTTCCCATTAAACCTGGCTTCATGTGAACTCGCGGGTTACGCGCTCGTGCGTTATCATTGTTTATTAAAGAAATATTTTGGTCATTAATCAGAAGTGAGCCCTGAGAAAAGCAGCTGGTCCCACTGTGTATGTGGGTATACTGATATATCAAGGGTCCCAGACGCATAACCTTACCTGAATTTTGTAGCCTTCTCTACAGGTGCCCTATTCGTGAGGCCCCAGAGTCCTCGAAGAAACGGCCGTTTCGTTAATGCTTTTAATAACCGCGTCGTTTACCTAATTAAAAAAAAAAAATTTACAGCGTCTACACCCTCTTTTCGTGTCTTTTAATTGATTTCCTCCCTCCGGAGGGGGTCTTGTTATTATTCCTGCTTAAATTCCGGGTCCCATGTCGTTTAACGAGGTTCTATAACAAATTTACTTGTTCCCAAGGTACACCCGGTATAATGACGAAGACCGTTCTTCCCTTCGACAAGGACATATTTAAGCGGCTGAGAAACGTTTGGGATCAATTTCTTCGTACGAGCGACGCGAAGTCAGTGTCACGCGGTAACCGTATTCCAAATCGTCGTACCGAGCTCCTTGGAAAAAGATGCTCTATCGGTATACCTGAATGGGGGCCTCTATAGGTAAATAAACGTTAGGTACAAGGGTAGTTAGCACCCAGCGTTCTTGTTCCCGTGTAGTAACTAGATATCCCTAACAGTTCCGCCGGCATTTATTCAGCCCATTACGTGTTAATCTTGAAGGCATACACAGAGGGTATTATCATTTAAATTGGTGTCGTTATGCGCGCACAGTAAATTTGTTTGCCTAAGAGCCCGTACCGAGTCGCCCCTCCTTTTCGCAGGGTGCCGAGGGGGTTCGGCCACCCCTGGCTTTTCCGTGCTTGAAGTCGAGTAACGGCGATAAAAAGGAGCAAGGAGGAAGGATGAAGAAAAAAAATGCTCTGGCTTCGCGACCACTTCGAATAAACCCCTAGGTAGGATCGAAATTTATCCAGCTCTTCGTTTCCTCGTACATTTTTCACAGGACTCCACTCCCTTCCAGCCGTCCTCATTTCGCCTTCTGCTTTTAGGTCAGGCCCGTAGGCACGGCCTGCCCAGGAACCACGACCCTGTCGTGGCAGCTCCTTCTACGGGAGTCTTCTAGGTTTCCCGCAGCGACAGATAAGGCATCGTTCGTATACCGAAATCGACTGTGTGCCACGATAGCTCAAAGGGCGTGCTCATCCTCGTGAACCTTCCTCTGGGTCACAGGTCTTCCTGGTGGTCCCGATCGTGGGAGCCACTCTGTCACTCCTCCTTGCCTTGTCATCTACGGATACCTCGTAATACTCGTAATAGAGCAACCAACCAGTTTTTGTGGGTTTTGGTTTTTTTTTTTAATTTAAAAAATTTTTGGAAGGAAGAGAAATGAAAGTCATTTGAATTTCCCGCACTTTTCAAATTGCCCGCGCGAACGCACGGCTCGCCACGTGGAAGATACGAAAATGAGAACGAGAACTTCTCGACACGGCTGTCAGTAGATCCAGACGGGCGCAGCATCGACGTTCTTACACGACATTAGCCACAGATGACCACCGATAGTGTCTCCCATTGTGAAAGGCTAGGCAGGGGCGTGGATATCTCGTTAGTAAACGACCGACCGGTCGAGGTTGACTGATTGAGCGATGGCATTCCTTCGACGTCCGGCATCGAATCCTCCGAGTCACTTGGATGGTCTGACAGGCGTATATGGGTATATGGAATACACTGCTGGTGCCATTTTCATAGGCGCAAGAGGGGAGCCAGGGGCGGCTGATGAAGCCGTGAATTGGCGAATCGGAATGAATTTTTGGAGGAATAGTTAATTTCCACGG